GGGGGGGGGGTTCCTGTCCTCCAGCACCTGTGATGTAAACCATGCCGTTAATTGATAAAGAAGTAAGGACTTTATTGAAATCTAGCCGTTTTTGCAATTGAGGTAAGAATTTGGAAGAATTAATCTAGAACCAAGCGCATTTTTATGCGCAATAAAAATACATGTGGGACTGTAGCCCTCCGGTCTATCGATATATATTTTTTCGGAGAGCTACAGTTCTGCAGCTAGCAATCAACTTACTGAAGGCTCAAATTTTATATGTTCAAGTCTCAAAATTTATATGAATGATACCGAGTCCGTTTGAATTTAAATACTTTTAATTTCCCTTTTATTAATTATAAAGAAACTAAATTACAAAATGTAAGGAACATATATATTAATATGATTGTTGAAAAATTGCAAGTAAGCCAATACAATTTATTATGTTTTTTTTCATTTCTAAACAATTGGCAAAATGCTAATCCTCATATTAGGGGTAATTTCTGACAATTTAGTTTTATTTAATTTTTAACTTTAATATTTTTCACTCTTAATTATTATTTCAAAGAAAATTTTAACATGTTTCAATATCTAATAACAATTGTTTATAATTTAAAGCACTATATTTGACTTTGTAACCCACTTGAGTTTGAGCAATTTTTTCGAAAATTGGCAATTTGTAAATCCCCATATCTCAATTATTTATTATTTCCCAAGCTCAATATTTGGCAAACATAATGTTTAGAGTTATATTTGTACAATAAAATAAAAATAATTAATTTCAAAGATTGGTCTTGGAAGATTTTCGGCATTAAATTTGTAATACTTTTGGCAATTCTTGAAAATTGGCATCATGCCAATTTTCAAGAGTTGTCTGCCCTTTGATATATTGCATATATGATTATGATAAATGTAAATTTTGAAAGAACATAGTCTTATGTTATTCAAAATACCTTAATGGAAATGCAAGTTTAATTTTGAGTAAAATAAATCAAATGTGAATTTTACCATTTTTCTTGAATTTTTTAAGTGCATTTGCACTTAAATGTGCAAAAAGGAGGTGGCGCTGCCTACGGCTGCCATGTTGAATGATGGGAATTTTTTTGGTCATTTTTTAATAACATATTATAAAGTCTAACTACCCACCAAATTTCATTAAGATATGACAACCTTCGATTTGGACAGTTCTGCATGGTTTTCTCGCGGACTGGCTCTTAAGTTATGCTTCTATGAATCACTGAGATTATTCATTACATGCATATAAGAGTATTCAGAACAAAAGGAAACAAGCATTCTGAGAGTATTGCATAAGCAATACATGTCCCCTACCGGGTTCCCCTTTTCTCTTTCGGGTGTCATTTTTTAGAGCCTGTGTATGAAAAATTGTTACTTAAATATGGACATTTTAGTTATTACTTGAATATGAATGAAATGTATTGGATCTTCCTTACAAAGAAAGAATCGTGACATCTTTGAATGCCATTTGACACACACAAATGCTTTGATCAGAACAGCTTATTTTACGTTGAACAAAAATTTTATACCAGAAAAAACCAAACTTGATCTATATTTGTCACTATAAAGGTATCCAGCAAGTTTCAAATCATGATGCATTAATCCAGTAACACTTGGAGTTCCTCGGATGACTCGTATCTCGCACATAATAAATTGAATGGAGCGTAGCGGAGTCAGCCGAGAATTGCCGATTGATCCAGTAGTGCATCACGACATCAATTAAGTGCATCACGAACCCTATTGTGAACCCAATTATTAAAAAAATAAAAATACCACAATTCCTTCAGAAATTAATGTAGAACGAAACGCAAACTTCATCTATAATTAATTTATAAAAGCTATCCAGCAAGTTTCAATTCATTACAATCTCGTTTAGAACATAAATTGAGTGCATCACGACATAAATGTAGTGCATCACGAACCCTATATTTAACCCAATTATAAAATTAAAAAAATAAAAATGCCGTAATTCTTTCAAAATTCAATTAAGCAGAACGAAATGCAAACTTGATCTATAACTAATTAAGGTAAAGTCTTATACCTAAAACCAGCTCAATATCTGCAAGCGTTTAGGAGAAAAGTGTGGAAAACCCTGAAAAATTGAAAAGGCCGTGATTCCGTAAAAAAGCATTGAATCGGAACGATATTCAAACTTGATCTGTAACTTATCAAGATACACATACGTACCAAAAATCAGCTCAATATCTGCCAGCGTTTAGAAAAAAGTGTGGAAAACCAAGTGGGACAGACTGACAGACAGACGGGGACAGACAGACAGACCGACAGACGGACAGACGGACGGAAAGACAGACAGACGGACGGACAGACGCAGAGGAAACCTATAGTCCCCTCCGGTTTCACCGGTAGGGGACTAACAAGCAAATAAACCCTAGAAGAAAGCCTACTCATTTTTTTTTACCATCTACTTAATAATCATTTTGCCCTAACATGTGTAGATGTACTGAAGAAGACACCTTTTAGTGATTTAGTGTGTACCTGTACTGAAGAAGACACCTTTTAGTGATTTAGTGTGTACATTTACTGAAGAAGACATCTTTTAGTGATTTAGTGTGTGCATGTACTGAAGAAGACACCTTTTCGTGATTTAGTGTGTACATGTACAGAAGAGCTAGGACACCTATAGTGATTTAGTGTGTACATGTACTGAAGAAGACACCTTTTAGTGATTTCAGGATCTGGTTCCTCTGAGCCTACAAATGTAAGACTGCCTCCACTGTCGACACTGGACATCGGTGAGGCCGGGGGAGACACAGTGTGGGGGACAGGTGATGGGGGCGGGGAATTCTCACAAACCTCTTCCTCCTCTGAAAAAAAAAATCAAAAATATTTATCAGTCATGCAATTTCATGAGGCAAAATGTTTTCTTCTGAAAATTAAAATTAAATATAAAATTCAAGATGATGGCTGCGTTTTGTGAATACCGGTGTCGTACAAGGTATCACACCGGTAATTGACCAATCAAAATGAACTTATGTAGGTCCATATATATAGAATTAATTTTCCTTTCTTTTGAGGCGTTTTTCTATTTTCTTCCATGCCACTTTTACAACTTTGGTACCTGTGCCTAGTAAATTTTATGTACTTTGTGAATAAATAAAGGTTTTGGACAGGAACTATTTTTTTCATGGCATAGGAGGCTACTTCCTGTAGTGCACTCGAGGTGTTTATAAACACAGTGAAAACACGTGGATTTGAGGGTAGCCCTGTTTGCAGATGGAAAAAGTCCGAAAATGCCGTGTGGGTACCCTGTTTTTTGGTGTCAGCTAATGTGACAGGTATTGTTTAACACCTTCTGCTAAATATTTTTTCATGTAAACAAATACCTGATTTTTAACGATTTTTTATTCTATATAGAATTATATAGTGAAAACAATTACCGGTGTGATACCTTGAAGGTGATTGTGAAAAATCATTTTCATCCTTATTAAAGACATTTTTCATTTTTAAAAGGCATATTTCAACAAAATATGTGATTTTATTAACTTTTTGTTTGAAAACACACAATTTTAAAATTAGAATTAGAATTTACATTATTTTTCACAGATTTCTGTTTAAAAATTAACAATAGGTTATGTTTTACACTCAATACTTTAAAATATGACTAAAAAGGTAGCATTATGCATCTAAAATGTGGAAAGAAGTCAGAGAATATTGTTTTTTCATTTTATATGACTTAACATTATTTGCACCAGCTGACCGCAGTCAATTATAGCGTCTACAGACTTTGCGGTAAAGGGCGTTAAAGCTGATTTTTCAAGAATAGACTAATTCTAGGTTTGCGAATGAATTTTTAGCATAAGCGACAACTGCGATAAAATGTAAACAAGTAAAAATGTTTTCACAGAATGATAATTTCTACAGAAACATGATTTATTTTAATTTATTCAGACCTCCAGTGATACATACATTACTGCATTGGAAGAACAGAAATAATGAAATGAGTCAGATCTGTCTAATAAACTTGATACATAAGCTACATTAGTAAGATTCATTAAGAATTTATCAAAGTAAGGAAGGTTATGACCAAAAAATCCTGAAATACTGTCAAGGTCTGCATGATAATACTTATTCTGAGTTCTAACAATGCATCATACATGTAGTGCAGAATGTCACTTAGCAGCATGGAATGCCTTTTGTGGTTCTAAGGACTTTATTTATGCTTTCGCAGCTGACATTCATGTTTTTTCAGTTTGTCGGAGACTGTTTTTTGTTATTTTTTCATTTATATGTAGGTGTTGACTGTCACTTTTGAATTAAGTCTCAGTCAGTGATGCTTATATGAGCATGATCTACTAAGTATATCATTGTTCTGAAATATTAATAAATTCCAAATTTAACTGATGAAGAAATTTGGCATATTTACATAATTGAAATATCAGAATAACTATAATTCAGCTAATAAGATGCACATTTCTTCTCAGATCACTTCCTCTAAATTTTATCAACAGTTTTGGTACACCCACCCACCTCAAAGAATCATGGAGGATGTCCTGAATCTGGTCTCTGTGATGCATTTTGTCTCATAGAAAAGTGTTCAAACTCATTAAAATGTTTAATATTTATATTTTAAAATCTAAATGTTCATTTTTTTATGTCAATTTGTTGAAACAAAAAGATATAATCTTGCATAAATCATGGAAATTCATTAAACACCTTTGGAATTCCTGAATAAATCCATGAAAAGAGAATAATTATGCATGTTAAATTGAAATTTCATGGCTAATTTGTGTCTTAAGAGAAAGCCAGTTGCATAAATCACAACAATAAATTACATCTGAATTGTTGTCTCCAGGTTCTTATCATCAAAGCCAGTTTAATGGAGTGTGGGAGCTGTGAAGAACCTCCCTAGATGCTGATATCATTTTGACTGCCCTGAGTTACAACACAGCATTTAGATAAACTTCTGCACAGCAGCTTGTAGACACATACCTAGGCTTTATTTGGAACATAAATTGACCAGATACAGTGTTCATTATCAACCCAGTATTTAACAATTTCTGTATTTTTGTTCATTCTTTGAGGGGGAAAATGCAACTTTGTTATGTAATAATTACATAATGGTCTTAGACTTGTAAACTCTTTTCTGTTTGTGGTGAAGAACAAAGCATATACTCTCCACGGATAAAAAATTGGTTGCCAAGCTTATTCTTTTAATGGTGAAATTCTGCTTCAAAAGATGCACAAAAAACTGCTTCCAGAGTGCTGTGTGTGTTGTTCTTGACTGCTCTGGAGTAAGGGAGATAAATGCTTCATATCTTCAGAAATAAGGGGATTTAGATCACCAGACTTAGGGATGTTGGGGACAATTATTTCATGAATCTCAGGTGCAAAAATGGAAAAAATCGAACACCTTCAAAGGTCCTTGAAGGTGATTGTGAAAAATCATTTTAATCCTTATTAAAGACATTTTTCATTTTTAAAAGGCATATTTCAACAAAATATGTGATTTTATTTACTTTTTGTTTGAAAACACACAATTTTAAAATTAGAATTAGAATTTACATTATTTTTCACAGATTTCTGTTTAAAAATTAACAATAGGTTATGTTTTACACTCAATACTTTAAAATATGACTAAAAAGGTAGCATTATGCATCTAAAATGTGGAAAGAAGTCAGAGAATATTGTTTTTTCATTTTATATGACTTAACATTATTTGCACCAGCTGACCGCAGTCAATTATAGCGTCTACAGACTTTGCGGTAAAGGGCGTTAAAGCTGATTTTTCAAGAATAGACTAATTCTAGGTTTGCGAATGAATTTTTAGCATAAGCGACAACTGCGATAAAATGTAAACAAGTAAAAATGTTTTCACAGAATGATAATTTCTACAGAAACATGATTTATTTTAATTTATTCAGACCTCCAGTGATACATACATTACTGCATTGGAAGAACAGAAATAATGAAATGAGTCAGATCTGTCTAATAAACTTGATACATAAGCTACATTAGTAAGATTCATTAAGAATTTATCAAAGTAAGGAAGGTTATGACCAAAAAATCCTGAAATACTGTCAAGGTCTGCATGATAATACTTATTCTGAGTTCTAACAATGCATCATACATGTAGTGCAGAATGTCACTTAGCAGCATGGAATGCCTTTTGTGGTTCTAAGGACTTTATTTATGCTTTCGCAGCTGACATTCATGTTTTTTCAGTTTGTCGGAGACTGTTTTTTGTTATTTTTTCATTTATATGTAGGTGTTAACTGTCACTTTTGAATTAAGTCTCAGTCAGTGATGCTTATATGAGCATGATCTACTAAGTATATCATTGTTCTGAAATATTAATAAATTCCAAATTTAACTGATGAAATAATTTGGCATATTTACATAATTGAAATATCAGAATAACTATAATTCAGCTAATAAGATGCACATTTCTTTTCAGATCACTTCCTCTAAATTGTATCAACAGTTTTGGTACACCCACCCACCTCAAAGAATCATGGAGGATGTCCTGAATCTGGTCTCTGTGATGCATTTTGTCTCATAGAAAAGTGTTCAAACTCATTAAAATGTTTAATATTTATATTTTAAAATCTAAATGTTCATTTTTTTATGTCAATTTGTTGAAACAAAAAGATATAATCTTGCATAAATCATGGAAATTCATTAAACACCTTTGGAATTCCTGAATAAATCCATGAAAAGAGAATAATTATGCATGTTAAATTGAAATTTCATGGCTAATTTGTGTCTTAAGAGAAAGCCAGTTGCATAAATCACAACAATAAATTACATCTGAATTGTTGTCTCCAGGTTCTTATCATCAAAGCCAGTTTAATGGAGTGTGGGAGCTGTGAAGAACCTCCCTAGATGCTGATATCATTTTGACTGCCCTGAGTTACAACACAGCATTTAGATAAACTTCTGCACAGCAGCTTGTAGACACATACCTAGGCTTTATTTGGAACATAAATTGACCAGATACAGTGTTCATTATCAACCCAGTATTTAACAATTTCTGTATTTTTGTTCATTCTTTGAAGGGGAAAATGCAACTTTGTTATGTAATAATTACATAATGGTCTTAGACTTGTAAACTCTTTTCTGTTTGTGGTGAAGAACAAAGCATATACTCTCCACGGATAAAAAATTGGTTGCCAAGCTTATTCTTTTAATGGTGAAATTCTGCTTCAAAAGATGCACAAAAAACTGCTTCCAGAGTGCTGTGTGTGTTGTTCTTGACTGCTCTGGAGTAAGGGAGATAAATGCTTCATATCTTCAGAAATAAGGGGATTTAGATCACCAGACTTAGGGATGTTGGGGACAATTATTTCATGAATCTCAGGTGCAAAAATGGAAAAAATCGAACACCTTCAAAGGTCCTTCAAGTGAGACTTCCCCCATAGTGAGGCTTCCCCCGGAAGGCTCACTATATAGTGAGTCTTCCCCCCGGAAGGCTGGCTATATAGTGAGCCTTCCCCCCGGAAGAATGGCTATATAGTGAGACTTCCCCCACGGAAGTTTCACTATATAGCCGTTCTTCCGGGGGGAAGGCTCAATATATAGCCAGCCTTCCCCCATTCATAGCGAGACTTCCCCCTCTTATTATAGTTTCCGGAACATTGTTTTATTATTTAAAAAAATTCTAACTGTGTTAATTTATGACGAAATTATCTTCCATATATATGCATGTATTTGTATATTTATTTTATATGCATGAACAGTTTGAATATCGTTTTAACTGTTTAATATCCATTATAACATATGCATGTACATTGAGATGATATAATATATATAATATGTATACCCTTTCCTTTACAGGTATTGATAACGAATAATTTTATTAGTTCACGAGTCACTTATATGAAATGTTCTGATTGTTTTCAGCATTTGAATAAAAAAAAATTGTTAGCAAATGTTTGTTTGTTTTTCTGTTTGTGTACAAACATTAGCTATTTACACATTAGATATGGTTCAACCGATTTAATAAAAAATGTAGCGAAAAGAAGAAAAATTTATAGTACGTTAAGACTATGCGAGAAATAAAATAATTGTGCTCGGATGTGAAAAATAAAACATGCATTCCAAATCTCAATTATGATCTTCTTAGTTCCTAACTATATTTATCAAAAGTTTCATGTACATAAAGTTTAAATCTACTTTAAAGATAATTTTAAGCATCATTTAATAGATATGCTGAAATGTAAAATTGATGGGAAAATATTTCATTTACTTTATCCACAGGGACGTATACAATATTAAAGACTTCATAGATCAGTGGTTCGACAAAAATTTGCACAAACTTTAAAATTATTATAACTTTATTATTAAATATATGCAGATAAAACCCGTTTTGATAACAAAAAAAAATTGGAAAAGTAATAGTTCACCGATTTTCTTGAAATAATATATTAGTTAACTGAGGATCAGAGACGCTTAGATTTATCTTTATTAAACACAAAATAGTTTAGTCAAATATGTGACAATTGCAATGCAGTATATATTGTTTTTAATTTTACGTATTTTTTATACGTGTATTCAAACATCCAATCGTCCAAACACAGTTTATTAAAATATCTTTAAATAAATAATTTTTAAAACACGACCAAAATGAAAAAATTAATTGTATGAATTGATGTATGGGTGTGATGAGCGGGGGGTGCACACATTTTCATGCAATTTTTCCGGTCATAAATTTAAAAGAAAGGGGGGGGGGGGGTTAAGCCTAATCCATCTATCCGGTGCCTTTGCTAAAATATGCATGACAGTCAGAATTTGATTTAAAGTGTATTAGAACTCAAATCCATCTTATTTGATTTCATAATGATGTAATTTCATTAATATCACGCAAATTTAATTTCAAAATGAAATACAAATCCTAAAAATACTTCATAAAATTTATAAAAGTTAAAAGGTCCCTGAAGCATACAATAATATTTAAGAGTCAAAATCAGCAAGCATCGAGCATTTAGTTAAAAAATGTGGAAAGTGGCATAGAAACAGATTTGGTTAAAACTCATATATAAATTTTCAGAACAAAGGGTATAATAGAAAAAAGCAAGCCAAAAATAATTTTTCGCATTGTTGCTATGGAAACCACGCGCCTTTCAAATAGCATGTTTTGTACTTTATCATGACACTTGCATTTATGGTTAAACAAATATTTTCTATTACTAGTCATTAATAAAAGCTTTTTAAATTATTATTCTATTTATCTAAAAATACTCAATTTTAACAACTGTTGATTATTGAAATTCTCTTCACCTTTTGATAAATAAAACTAGTTTTTGGAGGTTTATTTTGATTTAAAAAACAGCAAATTTGCAGTACTCTATAAGAAATCTACAACCACATTAAAGCTTATCAACATAAAATATATATTAAACAGTATTTGTCCTACAAGAATCAAGAAAAAAATCTGCAGGCAACTAAAGCATTTATTATATGATAACTGATTTAAATCCATAATTTTCTGTCTTTTTTGCTTCAAATTACCTCCCTTTGGTATAGCTCTCTAACATAGGAGGAATAAACGGTAGTTTGCTTACCTTCTTTTCAATAACAATATACAGAAGACTAGAAGAAAATTACAAACTTAGAGCAGTCTGAGCCTCAGTTTTGGCGTTTTCATGAGTCTTAATTACGGTTAGTGACTGAATTTTTTTACAATTTACCATTACAACAGTTTCTGAAGAATGTATAACAAAAATTAACCATGCAGGAAAATATGTAACACTTGGCAATTTTTTTTTTTGCAAATTTCAATTTAATTCTGATTGAATATATATGTTAGCATTACTTTAGTATTTTATAACTAAAAAGAAAAGATTAATGCATGGCCTGAGGAACCAAGAGAAGGGGGTATGCCCCCCTCCCCGATAATATTTTGAATACTTTGAAGCCAAACTCGGAAAGAAGCAGAAACAGAATTGGATGAGCTGATATAGAATTAGACGGGAAAAACGTGTAAATAATACATTTTTACTTAACTTTTTAAAATAAAATGATAAACTAAACCATTGAGATCTCTTGGAATTTAATTGATTCCAATAAACGTGCTTTGCTTTCGTCATCATTGCTCAAGCTCAACTAGAAATGGTTCTTAGTAAGTATCTGAAGGCAAAGCTGTATAATATTATTACATTTTAATTTTATCACTTTTTCAGATTATCATTATGAGAATACATCATTACAGTACAGACCATTGATGCTGGAAGTGAGTGGATAGTGTTACCGGAGACTCAGGGATCCAGAAAATAGATCCATAAATTGTACAGTGTATTCATGAAAGTGGATCAAATAAAAATGTTCAATCCAAAAGTAACATTCTTTGTCTGTTAGCATTTTTTTATTGATGTAAATCTAACAAGCTAATTCAGAGAATTTGTGTCCCACGCTTAGGGAAAAAGTAAACCATGCGCAGTTCGGGGCGGGGCGGGGTGGGGTGGGGGGTTGGGGTCGGATCCCCCTAATTGAATTTGTAGAATTTTTAAATGTATACATGTATACTGAAGCAAATAAAATATGTCAATATTGATATAATGATTTGATTATGTGTATAGAAGATTCTTTTTATGTGGATTATTTATCACAACGTAATGATGATTTTATGAGTTTGTACAAGCTAGACCTCATAATTTTTTTTCATTTCACATGCTGAATACTATCATTTAGTAAAAAAGAATTTCGCATGTGAAGCGGGAGACATACCACTGCGCCATGGAACTGCTGTAAAATTTCGACAATTCGAGAGTCACGTGACCTATGGCTAGGGTGGTCACGGTGTAAATTGAGGAGAGGATTAAGTCGATCTGTGATTTAATGGTTTAGTTGTTGCTCCCAAAACTTTGCAGAGGTGTTTCTATATAGTTGGAGTGTCTTTTGTGAAAATTTGGAAAAAATTGGTGAGTGTTTAGAAGTTTGTAACCACAAAAATTATGGCCTCTCAAAATAGCAAGGATGAGAACAATTCACAGTGTAACCCAGCCTTGTCGTCGGGAGTCACTGGAGCGTCACCGCAGATGTCCGCTATTCATGATTGCTTGCGGTCAATTACCGGTAAACTGGACAATATCAATGTTCTACAGCAATCAGTAAATAATATGAATCGGGATCTATGGGATGAGGATGGGTTAGATGAGCGCATCAAATATGAAGATAATGTTGGAGAAATCGAGACGCTGAAATTAGAAAACAATTATTTGCGAAAAGAACTCCAAGTTTTAAAGTCAATCGTCGTTAACTTAGACAGAAGGGTCAGTCAGCAAGAGAATGAAATAGTGGACCTCAGAGGAAGATCGATGAGGGACAATATTCTTGTACATAACTTAGCTGAAGATGACCAGGAAAATCTGAACACTAGAGTTAGCGAGTTGATCAAGGAGCATTTGAATTTGGAAGTTGGTTTCATCAGGATACACCGAAACGGTCAGAAATTCCCTGGCAACCCGAAACCAAGGACAATAACAGGGAAATTACAGAACTACAATGATAAAGAACTCATCTTCCAAGCTATTCGTCAAAAGAAGGAAAATGGCACCGCTAAGGACATGCCCTTCTATATCACTCCACAGACGCCTCTGCAAATAAATGAAGGTAAAAAGAAACTGCAGGAGATGAACAATAAATATCGAGAAGAAAACGTCAAAACAAAGATAGTGGGAAACAAGTTAGTCTTTCCAAACGGAAGCGTGTACCGGGACAAGGTGCTACCACCACGGGCTGAGGATATACTCATGTTGGACAAGGACGAAATCGAAAAACTGGATGAATGCGATGTAAGGAAGTGCGAAAGCGTAACAGAAGATGGGAACATCTTTACTTCATTAATCGCCGAAATTCACACATATGCACATGCTAGGAACGTTTACAAAAATATTCTACGCAACCCGGACTATGCCTGTGCCAACCATAATATCCTTGTATACCGATTCAAAGATGCCCAAGGGCGAGTGCATGACGGCTATTGCGACAATGGGGAATACGGGGCCGGACGTCGACTACTTAAGGTACTGGTTGAGAGAGAAGTATCGAACGTAGCGATTGTCATTTCGAGGAAGAATGGTAAACATTTAGGTCCCCGCCGGTTTGACATTATACTGGGTGCGTTCAGAGTATTTCCATTGGTACCATCACCTGTTTGGCAATGGCAAGAATTTGTACCGTTGGTACCATTGGGCCCATATTTACTCTGAACGGTTTTTTGGGTACAA